CCTTGCCTCTCTTGTTACAGACCCGTCTGTTCCTGTCTCCTGCCTTGACGCCCTTGTTGCTGCTGTCGCTGACTTTGCCTCTACCCACCGCCTTGACTACGCTACTGCTCTGGTCTCTGACCCTGCCCTTCGTGCGCCCGTCGAGGGTGCACCTGCCCTTGGCACTGACGTACTAGAGGACAGGCTGTACGAGCTTGCTTTCCTTTCCGAGGCCGCTCCCCATCTCTGCTCCATGCTTCTAGTCCCAGAGGGTGACCCAGACGCCTTCGACATCCCGATCCGTCGCACCTACGCTGAGGCCACCTCGAGACCCTGGGCCTCTCAGTGGATAGCTGCCATGGAGCAGGAGATGGCATGTTGGAGGTCCACCGGCACTTACGTCGACGCAATTCCCCCGTCTGGGGTGAACGTAGTCAATGGTCGTTGGCTCTTCAAGGTGAAGCACCCCCCTGGAGAGCCGCATGTCTTCAAGGCGCGCTACGTGGCCAGAGGCTTCAGCCAGCGCGAGGGGGTTGACTTCTTCCAGACCTTCGCCCCGACCCCGAAGATGACCACTCTTCGGGCGCTGCTACACGTAGCAGCACAGCGCGACTACGAGCTTCACTCCCTCGACTTCTCTACTGCCTTTCTTCAGGGCAGCCTACACGAGCACGTCTACCTGCGTCAACCTCAGGGCTTCACTGGTACCTTCCTCCCTGGGACCCACTGGCTTCTCCGGCGCCCGGTCTACGGCCTGCGCCAGGCTCCTCGCGAGTGGCACGACACGCTGCGTGCCACGTTAGCACACCTGCAGTTCTTTCCGTCCTCTGCTGACCCCTCGCTATTTGTGCGTTCCGGCCAGACTCCGCTCTACATCCTTGTCTACGTAGACGACTTGGTCTTTGCTACTGCTGACAGGGACGCACTGGCCTTTGTGAAGGCCGAGCTGCTGAAGAGACACACCTGCACTGACCTTGGAGAGCTGCGTCGCTATCTTGGCCTGCAGATCTCCAGGGACAGAGCAGCACGCACCATCACTGTGACACAGTCACACTTGGTGCGTCAGGTCCTTCAAAGGTTCGGTCTTCAGTTCTCCTCCGCACAGCCCACACCTCTACCTGTAGACCATGGGCTCTCTTCTCCAGTTCCTGCGGAGCCAGTAGAGCCCAGTGGACCCTACGCAGAGCTGGTGGGTTGCCTCATGTACCTGATGACTTGCACTCGCCCAGATCTTGCATACCCTCTCAGCATCGGATCTCGCTTTGTGGCCACTGGCAGACACCGGCCACAGCACTGGTCGGCCGCTAAGAGGGTTTTGCGATATCTAGCAAGTACATCGGGCATGGGGTTAGTGCTAGGAGGACGCAGGCCGGTGGTTCTCACTAGGCACATAGACGCTTCTTGGGCAGACGACTCTGAGACTCTCAGGTCGTCTCAGGGCTACTGTTTTAGCCTTGGTTCGGGTGCTATCTCTTGGAGATCCACTCGCTCGTCGTCTGTCGCTCAGTCCAGCTGTGAGGCTGAGATCTACGCTGGTGCCATGGCAGCACAGGAGCTCCGCTGGCTGACCTTCCTGCTCACTGACTTAGGTGAGCGGCCTAGCTCTGCCTCGGTCCTGTACGCTGACAACAGGGCCATGATCCTCCTGTGTCAGGAGCCTCGGCTTGAGGACAGAGCGAAGCATATCCAGCTGTGGTACTTCCTCATGCGTTAGTTACAGCAGCGTCGCTAGGCCCGTGTAGTTCACTTGGCCTCAGGTGCCAACACATCTGATATCTTTACTAAGGCGTTTGCGCCTAAAGATCATCAGCGGCACTGTGTACAGCTTGGTCTTGTTCCTGTAGCTTCTCATTTGCTAGGGCCATGATTGTGTACTCTCTACTATATATACCTGTCTGACTGGCTTTGTGGCCTTACCTGCAGTGGCTGGACTAGTAGTGCCGCCCTGGCTTGCTTTAGTCTTGTTTGTACTCTTGCTGACTGGTCTCGGGACCCCTGCCTCAGTGGTTGGACTAGTAGTGCCACCCTGAGCTGTGTGCTTCTTGCTTAGCACCACCCCTTATCTAGCCTAGAGGGTGTGTCAACTTATACATATGTTCTATGTAGAAGTTATAGGCTAGACTAGGTGTGTGCTTCTAGTGAGTACAACCCAACAGGTATATGTTCTAGGTTTCTCCTTCTAGTAGTCATTCACGTATTCTAGCACTCATCCGACAGTTCGTCGCGAACACGACTGATCTCGACCATCAAAGACTCTATCCTTCGATCAGGCCCGTCCCAGAGCCAACCAATAACCGAACCACAGCAGATCCTCTCCTACAGAATCTGCCGCGACCAAGGTCAACGGGTCTTGGAGTTTCTGGATCGATGGGTTGACCGAACGTGCGACAACGACATGTGGGTCCCAGCCGCTACCCTCGACAACAACCCGTTGTTGCAGGCCTACTTACCCGATCGGGCTACCCCAGATGTGGATAGTCTTGTCTTGGAGGGGGGAAGGTGTAAGAAAAATCCATTTTCCTTATCGAGCCTTGCTAACATCGAGTACAGCCTTGACTTTCGGAAGTCCACGCTCGGCCCGACATCTCAGGTCCGAACTACATTCGAGACCCCCAAGCCTACACGCGGCGTCGCGTCCGACACTCCCGAGTCCCGAGGCGCCCAAACCACTTCGTGTGTGTTTCGTGGCCTTCCTCGAGGCTCCCTCGCTAGGTTAGCTGTGCTTGTATTTAGCCGTGTTCAAGCATTTGTATTCAACACTCTCGAATCAAGACCTCACTATTGCATTACTCAACTCCTATCCGTAGAGTATCATAACACTAAGGGAATGCGTACAGTGCAGAATACAAGTACCGTACAGTGCTGGAGTGTTTGGTGCGGTTTGGTTTGGCCCCTCAGGGATCCGTGTGGGTAGCAAGGGATGCAAAGATCTACTGTAATGTAGCCCGTTCAAGCATGACAGCAAAATCCACCGTCGATTTCTGTAGTTTTAGGGAAATGTACATTTGTGCGTTCATACGCACCACACATCTGCCATCCACGTTTACCTGTCGGCATAACCCGTGACGTCACTCCACGGATTTGTGTGGTGATGGGATGGCAGGCTGTAATGCATTGCCACCTGCACAGTAACGTCGCTGGGCCAGGGCTCCCAGTTCATTTTTGGCGATGTTCGCTGTTCTCCACCAAGGCTTATTTTATATAGGTAACGATCCAAATTTCTACCAAATAACAGAGTAGTTTTGTGACCGAAATTGGATTTCGACGTGTTTGATTTTCATGAACCCGGACTCTGACGGGTACATTTTTACCACAACACGTGAAGTGACGTGTTCGTTTTTTGAGAAACACGGATTCTAAAACCTCTCCCACCATCCCACAGATATCCCCGCCATTCCCTCTCCCCAGGGCACATCAGCCCTCGCAAGGGAGTTCCATAAGTGGACGTATAAGAGCTGAGCGGAGTACTCTTACGTGGTTCCCTTTGTAGAATCCGGGAACTTTTCGTAAGAGCGGAAACCCTAAGGCAAGCCTTGTTCTCCACACGACGGCCCGCGAAGATCATCAACCCAATGGAACAGCCGAAGCTCGCGTGTCGTTGAGCCTGGCTGGAATCTGGATGTGCACTAACTTCGCACGTGCGAAATTGAACACAATCACACCACATCCATTCAAAATAAATCCCGTGAACGGACGGAACCATCTCCCGAGTTGCCCGGTATTGAACAAACGGATTCGCATGCCATGCAGGGGAAGGCCTAACCAAAGGAAATGAATACATTGAATGAATCCCGCCGCACTATGCCTTCTTAGTGGGTGGGTGGAGGGTGGGAGGGGTGGGTGGGGGCGGGGTTAGGGGAAGGGTGGTAAAATATCTCTGTCGTTCAGCCTGAAAAGAAAGCTGTCCCCTGCCTTGTTTGTCGATGGACCAAAATGGGAGATGGCAAAAATCCACGCTTAACAGAGTACCCTCTTTCCAGCGTACTTTGACGAAACAAACAAGGTTGTGTAACTGAAGCACACTAAAACATAAACACCGACACGAGTTAGGCACACACTGATTACGATCACACGCAGGGATAATTAATTACCCTTTGGTTTGTAAATGGCACTCAGCAGGTTGTCACCCTTAACCTATTAACATTAGGGCAAATACCATGGTCTTGAGCCAGCTCCACTTGCCGAACCGCGTAGCCACGTAGCATCCCTTGCACAATTCGGTTCGTAAGGTTCATGAGACATGGAAACACAGACCGCTGGGGTTGCACTTCTTCCCAATTGGTTTTATATTTTCGCGCACCCCTTGTATTCAATAATATTAGGGCTAATCCACCTCGACATTGTTTTCTTTATTATCTTGATCTGGAAGCCCATGCCCAGCACAGTTTCTTGAAATTTCTCGCCATGACAGGCTCAGTTCAATTTCCTTCCCCATTCAGTCAGGGTAATTTCATTCCGTTGGCGGCTAATCTCCGTACACATTGATGATGTGTAATGATCTGAGCTGTTAGATTGTATGATACACAGTGGTTCGAAAGGTGAAGGGATTACCCTCATATTCCGCACCATAACGGGCTCTCAGGGTCGGATCGGGTGGAGATTTTGCGCTTCAGGAATATACTCGCGACGAACGGGGGCTGCACTTACGGAAAATCCCATTCCCTGTTTCTCCATGTGCAACTGATGAGGGTCTGAAGCACACTGCCTGAGAGTCCGAACCGAAGCACTGATGATGTCTGAAGCACACCGCAGTGCACAGCATGACAGGAATGGGAAGGAGTTTGGTTGGTCCCCTCGGGAAACTCCGGCTTCCACCCGAAATCTGGTCAAGTGGACCAACTGACGGGTGGCGATTAGAAGGGCGAAATCCCCCTCTGGTCGACGGTTTTGTCGATCCAGGGTGCAATGGATGTGTGAGTTCGAGCAGGCATGGCTGGGGGAATTCATGAAGTACAGTGTGGGATGTGGTGGTGGCGGGTGAGGTAGACAAGGAAGCACAGAACACCACCACAGTTCGGTTGGTCATCTGGATCATGCTGCTTCAAGCTTCTAACTTACTACAGTAGAGTACGTACAGGAGGAGATTCGGAGGGTGTTGTGGCGGATGCTTGGTGCGTACAGTACTGTAACCTTAACCCAGCAGCAGCTTCTCTCCTTCTGCGACAGGTGGGCTTGCTAACCGCGGCACTGTAGTCTGCGAGTTGAGAAGTCAGGAATTCCCGTACGATCCATTCCACCAACTCCACCACACGCCCTCCTCATCTCTTGAGGATACCGCTTTCGGGCATCTGTGGAGCTGGCCCTTCGTCAGCCATTCCCGAGACAGCCCAGCACCGCTAGCTACTCGTCGCGCGCGGCTGTATCCGATGGACGTGGAACGGAAGCCATGGCTGCCGATCCACGCCGTCGGCCGGCTGCTGTTCAACCAGCCGCGGCGTCTCGCCGTCGTCGTTCTGCCCGACGGCAGCGTCAGCATGTACGGGCCGGGCAAGACGGTCGCTGACGTGTTGGCGGAGCATCCGCCGGGCCACCGCGTGCGGTCGTCCGACGATCATATCCTCGCCTCCACTAAGCAACTGCGCCCTGGCAGCACCTACTACCTCAAGCTCGCCGCCGGTTCTTGTAGAGGGGCAAATGTGGTTGGTAGTAACCCGGAGGAAGCGGAACCAGCAGGAGATGGAAGCCTTGACGCCGCTTGCCCGGACGGGAATTCCCCCAACGCGGGCAAGGTTCGTCCGCAAGCGCTCGTGCGCCGCAGCGTGAGTTGCGCCAGCAGTCTGAGCAGCGCCGGCGGAAGCGGAAGCAGCGGGAGCCGCACGAACAGCAGCAGCAGCTGCAGCAGTAACAGCAGCGCGCACAGCGGCGCAGTGGTGTCTGATCCCTGGGGCCGATTGGATCCGCGGAGAAGGCGCGGGCCCGTAATGCCGCTGGGCAGGCGCAATAGCATGGTTGGTAGCAGCGGCGCCGCCGCCGCCGCCGCCGCCGGAGGAGGTAAGGGTGCGGGGAGCAATGGCACGAGCGGCAGCCGGCGGTCGTTCAGCACGGCGAGTCGTCGCATGTCGCTGTCGCTCGACAACCTCCCCGAGCTCGACGCGCCCGCATTGCCGCATCCCCTCCGCGCGCACGTTCCGCGCAGTCAGAGCATGTGCGATCGACGCGACGACTCGTCGGACGACAAGTCCTCCGCGCACTACGGCGGCAGGGGAGGCAGCGGCGGAGGCGTGTGGGAGCGAATTCGCCGTCGACGCGCGTCGTTCTCGGTGGGAAGCCCGTCGGGCGACTCGGACTCCGACAAGCCGCATGGCGCGCCGTGGTCGTCGGTTGCGGAGGAGGAAGAAGGCGAAGCGCCTGCCTCAGGAGCAGCTGCCGCGGCGGGCGACGACAAGGGCTGGTTGCGCGATCTCGTTAGCGCGGGGAGGAATTGGCGGGGCATCCGCATCGGGGGGGGGAAGGATCGGATAGTGGAAAGCGTTGCCGAGCGGGGCTGGTTGCGCGGTAAGCTGGGGCGGCGTGTGTCGTTGTCTCTGGAAAGCTTGCGGGAAATGCAGGGCGGAGAGGGGGGCAACGGGGCCGACGGGAACGATTCGTCTTCCGCAGAAGGGGGGGAGGAGGAGAGCGGGGCAGAGGGAGGGAAAGTTGGCAGCGGCAGTCAGAGGGATCCGTGGAAAGCGGATTCCGCATACAGCTCTGAGATTCCCGCGCACGTCACCCACGCCTCGCTCACCCCGCACGCTTTCCCGCAAGGGCGCGACGTGTGGAACTCGGCGGCGGGAACGGCAGACGACGGAGCCTGCGCCGCGCCCGGTAGTGTCGCTTCGGAAGCCTGGCGCCCCGTCACTCCGCGCACCCCGCTCGCGCCTGGGGGGCTCTCGCAGCACGCGCGTGCGTCGGTGGACGGGCTCGTGGCGGAGCGGAACGGCGCGGGTCCCCGGGGATGGGGGCCCACTGCGGGGTCAAGCGACGGGTTTAGGAGCACTAGTATCAGGGCGGGAAGTAGCAATGCGCACGCTGCGGGTGGTCGCGGGCAGGTCCCGCGGATCGGACGCGGCGCGGCGTTCCCAAGGAATGCGAGCATGGATTGCGGGCGACACGTGGACGAGGCGGTATGGGATGGCTTGGCGCACGCGTGCCTCTTTGGGGTGGGCGGTCGAGTTGCGCATTTGCCGGCAGAAACGAGCTTGGAGGGCGGAGGAGGGGCAGGTGGCGCAACGAGACTGACCTTTGGGGAGAATGTGGGTCTTCAAGGAGGAAACGGATCGGCGGGCAGGGGGCAGGTAGGGTCACTACTGGCCGTGCAGGAAGGAGGGTGGCTGGGAGGGGGCAGCGGCACGGCAGGCGAGGGGGCGTGGGAAGGTCGTCTCATGCAGCAGCCGCAGCCGCAGCAGCAGAGGCATCGGCGGTCGTCTTCGTTCGGGCCTCAGGAGAGGGAGTTGCTCTTCTCCTCGCCTTGGGACCGACCGCCCCCCCGCACTCCACCCGCACGCATGCACCCGCATGAATGGGGCCAGGGGCAGCAGCAGCAGCAGCAGCAGGCGTACAGGGGCAGTGCGGTGCAGCATGCACCTCAGGTGCTAACCCTCCATGATGCCACCCTGTATGGAGAAACAGACACGCGAGGCCAGTTGTACCAGCAGTTCGACAGGTACATGCCATACTCTAAGGTGCAGCAGAGGCAGCAGCAGCAGCCGCCGCCGTACGAGGGTTATACTGGGCCTGCAAGCCAGATGTGCCCCCCCCAGATGTCGCCTGCAAGCCATCTGCAGTCAGAGCCTCCCACAGTGTCCGGGAGTCATGGGGTTGAACCTCGCTACCCCGATATCATGCGATGACGGGACGAGGTGGGAGAAGGGGACTGCAGCATTGCCACGCGTGTGTGTCTGTGTGTGTGAGTGTGAAGTGTGTGTGTGAGTGTGTGTAGTGTGTGTGTGAGTGTGTAGTGTGTGTGTGTTTGCGCGCGCGCGCGCACATGTGTGTTGGTGTGCAGAGAGCACATGCACGCATGTAGTTGTGTGCAGGCATCATCAGGCCACATTGACCTTTGTGCTTTACACCTGATTTTGTGGTGACAAGACGTTTCACTGAGTAAACCTACCAGTATACCGGTACCACGTGTGATTTGAAATTAATCATTAGATCTCATTCATTTCCAGAGACTAGATAGTCTCTGAGTGTGCTGCTGTGATGCCACGCCATGCAGCTGCCCCTGTGGCCCAACACCGTAGATGTGTTGCAAGTGTACTCCAACTGCTGTTTTGCCCACACACCGCATTCGAGCTCCTCACTATGTTGTGCCTTACTGGGTGGTCTTAGACGCTGGTCCAGCTTTGCACCTGGTATCAAACTATCGACTGAAGGTGTAGTTTCCGAGGGGCACCTCCATGGGCTCATAGCAAGACCAAGCCAGGCTACAGAGCATTGGAAGTGCCAACTTTTCCCTCCCTTGGATGGCCTAGATGTCCCGAGTCAGAGCCATCATGACTCAGAGTCAGGGCCACAGCCTAAACAGCCTGGAAGAAAAACCTAGAGGTTAGCCCCACCTATCACCCATGCGAAATGCTATGGCACATCGTTTCCCCCCACCATTGCATCCAATTGCTGGCCTACTTCTGCTTGCCAGCCGCATCTGCACCCCCAACCACTGCTTCCGGATCCCCTCTCCTCACACTTGTATCGTCCGCACCACTCGCACTCTCCCCTGCACCTGCAGCTGCCGAACCCTCCTCTACTGCGCCCCTCCCATCCTTGGCCTTTCCACTATCTGCCACCCCTCCTTCCCCCGCAGCAGCAGCAGCAGCCTTGGCTGGCATAGACACAGTGGCAACCACTTGAGTGCTTGGGCACCACCCTGCCCGTCCCTTACCCCAGTCAACAGGAAACTTATTTTCTTCTGCCCGCTTCCACACCAACAGCGAGGCCTCCAGCCAACCGGGATGCACCAGGTGGCGCTTCTGCGCCACAGCCCAGATGGCCTTATCCGTGCCGCAGTCCAGCGCCACGACGTGCGTGATCTGGGGGCCAATCTGGGTGTGACACGTGGCGCCCATGGATTCGGCCATGCGCCAGAGCGGGTGCGTTTGCGGGCGGGAGGCGTCAGTGGGGAAGACGCGGCTGAAGACAAGGTGGCACCCAGATAGAATAGTGGCCCGCTCCTGCGCCAGGATCTGACCCGGGGGGGGGGAGGGGTGCGGGGGGGGAAAGGGGACGGGGTGAGTGCGGGTGTGTGGGCAGGTGGAAGTAAGGGTGCATGTGGGGGGTGGAAAATGTGGTGAGGGGGGGAGGGCGGGGGGGGGGGGAGAGTGGAGGAAGAGCAAGTCACGATCACACATGGTGGCAAGAAGTGGGAAGCATTGAACCGAGTGGAGGGCAATGGAGTGTGCAACTGGGGGGTGGGATGGGATGGTGGCACGTGAGCATGCATACCTGTCTCACATCTGCTGAGGCCCGCCCTTGATCCACCTGCAAGAAATCACGGCAGGGCATAGGCGGGGCCACAGGAGAAAGGGGAGTGGAGAGGAGGGTAGGGAGAGGAAAGATGGGGAAGAGGATGGGGCGGAAAGGGAGGGAAGGAGAGAGTGGGCGGCCGAGGGGGCCAGGGTGAAGGAAAAACAGAGAGCAAAGGGGGAGGAGGGGAGGAGGGGGGGGGGGGGGGGAGGGGGAAGATGACACACTGACTGGATCTGCAATGCATGCTAGCAACCACTCCGCCAATCTTCCCCTCCACCATCCCATCCATCCCCATAACCCCCATCTTCTCCCCCCCCCCCACGAGCGACTGCCCCACCAACACCCACCCCCACCCACCCGCACCTGCTGGAAGAAGCGGTGGTGCGTGTGGGAGAGCGGCGTCCAGAGCGTGTCCAGCAGCCCGCCTGAGTCCGCCTCGTCCACGTGGGTCTCGAGCAGCGAGGGGCCCGGCAGCAGGAAGTGGTGGCGGCTGCTGGCGAAGAAGTGGTACCGCTCCACTAACAGCAGGTTGTGCCGGTGCTTCGGCCACACCTGGCGGCCAAGGCGCAAGCAGGGGTGAGAGTGGGGGAGGTGAGGGGAGGGGATAGGAGAGGGGGGAGGGGAGAGGGCAGGGCAAAGGTGTGAGAGGGGGGGCATTGAGGTGTGGGAGGGGAGTCGGATGCTTTACCCAGGAAAGAGAGGGCAGTGCAGACCCAGAGGAAGGGGAAGACAAGTGCAAACATGGCGCACAGTACACGGCCAGTGCCACACCACCTGTCCACCCACTCTTACCCCACCACCAGGCCCCACCTCCATTCCCTAGTGACAACCCCACACGCGCCCAACACTTGACAGCCCCGTATGCCCCTTCCTCACTCTCCCATATTCTCACCCTCACCCCCCCTCCCCGTCCCCACCCTCCCCCACCTCCCCCCAACGCTCCACCCGTAGCGCTCACCACTTCGGAGTCGTCGAGAATGAGCACCATGCTGTCGGCGCCCAGCACCACGTCCAGGTCCTTCATGCCGCGCACCGTGCTGTCGCCGTGCGAGATCACGCGCCCGCCAAACAGCCGCCCCGACGGGTCCAGCAGCGCCGCCATGGCGTGCGCGTACGCCCTCTCGCCGTTGGTGTACACGATCAGGTCGAACAGGTCGTGCGCGCGCTGCAGGAACGACGCCACTCCTGGGCGCAGCTTTGTCCACATGCGGATGTGCGGCAGGCGGAAGAGCGTGATGGGGGGGGGAGGGGTGGCAGCCACGGAGGAGTCAGCAGCAGCCATCGCAGTGGCAGGGGCAGGGGCAGGGGCAGGGGCAGGGGCAGGGGCAGGGGCAGGGGCAGGGGCAGGGGCAGGGGCAGGGGCAGGGGCGGGGGCAGGGGCGGGGGCAGGGGCGGGGGCAGTCCCTGAGTTGGCAGCCCCCACAGGTGAGTCGCCTGTGACTGTGCCATGCTCCATATCCCTCTCCCTGTCCTCCTTTACCGCCTCCACACCAACCCCCTCCCCACCTGCTGCCGGCTCTCCTGCTTGCTGCTCCCCTGCAGCAGCACTGGGAGTGGGAGCTTCCGAGGCGGTGGCCTCAGCAGAACGCGCAGACGCAGCACCACTTTCGCCACCAGCAGCGGCAGCAGCAGCTGAAGGAACAGCAGCAGCAGGAGGAGCAGGAGAAGAGGCCGCAGCAGCAGCAGCAGCAACAACAGCAGGAGCAGCAGGAGCAGCAGGAGCAGCAGGTAGTGACGCGGCCAGGGGCGGTCGAGGCGAGGCAGGCGGCACGCCTCCGATGGTGTAGGCGGCAGCGAGGTATGCCTCGTGCGCGGGCGGCACGTCGATGTCGCGTGCGGAGTTGAGCAGCGTGTGGTCCAGGTCCAGCACCAGGTACAGCCGCCGCCGCCGCATCATGCGCGCGCGCTCCTGGCCCACCATGCGCACCGCCTCCTGCGCTGACACCTCCAGAGCCTGCTCGCAGTAACCAGGGAGGTGGGGGGGAGTGGTTGGAGGGAGGGGTCAGGGGGGCGGGCGGTGTTTTAGGTTGGGTTATTGGGGCGCCTCAAATGTGCCCTCAGCGGGAAAGTGGAAACGGATACGGCGGGTACTGGGGACGGCAAGGGGGAAGGTGATAGGCGTATATAGGGAATGGGTGGATTGGGCCAGATGGAGAGGCAGGCGAACGGAGCATAGCGGCAGGTACCAAGTGAGGGCGTCTGCCGTCCGCACTCACATGGTGAATGTAGCGAAGCGCTACACCTCCAGCCGCATCAGCCGCGGCAGCCTTCGCCTTCTCCCTGCCCCCGTCACCACCAGCCTCGCCCCCCACCGCCGCGCCCCCACTTCCCCCTGCGCGTGCGCTCCCCGCGCCCCCTTCCCCCCCCCCTTCCCCGTCAGCCTCCGCGCGCTCCTTGAGTATACCGCAGCGGATGCACACGCCCCACATAAACCCCGGATGAGGGGGGCATCCGCTGCTGTTGCGGTCCTTTTCCCCTTTTCCGCCACTCCCCCGCCCATCGCCGGCGGCACTTGCGCCTCGTCCGCGGTCAAGTGAGTGCCCAGAATTCCCCCCTGCGCCCACTGCTGCGCCCGCCTCCTCCCCGCTCGTGCTGCCGCCGCCCATCCGCCGCCGCTTCCCGCCGCCGTCCTCGTCGAGCGCTTTCCGCAATTCGCCCGCCTCCGCCGTCGCATCCCCTGCTGAATCATCACCACCTGCTGCCGGCTGTTCCCGCATCGCCTCGTCCTCAATTCTGTCGTTCCCGTCAGTTAAGTCGTAACCCGCTTCTTTATCGTTAACCGCATCGGCTGCCGCTCTCTCCTCCTGCGCGCTCTCGTCCCCCTCGTCCCCCTCTTCCCCCTCTTCCCCCTCTTCCCCCTCTTCCCCCTCTTCCCCCTCTTCCCCCTCTTCCCCATCTTCCCCCTCTTCTCCCTCCGCGACTCGCACGTCCTCGAGCTCCGCCTCGAGCAGCGACGCGAGCTCGTCCGCGCTGCCACTGCTGGACGGCGACGAGGGGCTGGGAGAAGTGGGCAGCACCATCTCCATGTTCGCCATCCCACGCCCGCGCCGCCAGAAGAGTACCGCGCCACCAGCGACCAGGAGAGTCGTAATGAGATTCGCGCGTTAAAACTAGTGTGTAGGTTGCGCTCCTAATGTTGCGTGAGCTGAGGGCGCCGCGTAAGCAGCCAGAGAGACGGTCAAGGAAAGGCGGTTAGATTTTCCCAAGTCCAAAGACTTGGGAGTGGGATACCCACTATGAAAAGTGCTATGAAGTACCAGGTTAGAAAGTCGTAGTCAGCCTTGGAGAATGGCAGCACAACTGGGCTTCCTGGTGCTGGCTGGGAGGGCTTTGGTTGTTAGAGGGACCTTGGGATCGTCATGTCTCCCAGTCGTCCGTCAATTTGTCGTCACTCAACAATTGTGGATAAAAATCTGCTGGGTGGACAAGCTTACTACAGTATAAGGAAGTTCCAATACTGGTACATAAGTTACCTTCATCCAATTTTAAAGGATGATTCAATGTCGCGAATGCGAAATTACCAAGGCGCTGCGTCACGGCACTTCCTCTGGCAACATCGACCTGGTGCGCGGGGGATCATGGCAGCCAATCGGGACAAATGCATCGATCCCTGCCTAGTGTTTCTCCTCTTCAGGCCGTCCTCGGGTTGATCGCGATGGCAAACAATCGATTTGCTGCCGTGTTGTGAGCCGCCGCTCGCCAGCAAGTTGCCCTTGGGAGCAGCGTCCTCCTGCTCGGCGTCCAATGATCCAATCTCGAGGTTTGCAAAAAGCAGCAACCATGTGATCAAGGTGAAAAAACGAAGAGACGTCAGCGGCTGACGACCCACCCTTTCGTCGGGTTTCCGTGTTTTGCCACAGTGAGAAACAGCTGTAGATTCCCCATGTCTAACACGAGACGATCGTTGCGGTTCTCGTACTTGCATCTGCGCAGGTCCTCGTCCCGATTCGCGTTGAAAAATCATCCATTGACGTTCAAATTTCTCATAACATGATATTCTATCAAAAGTGCGAATGGTAGTTCAAGCGCTGCGATCGTTAGTAAAGAACCAGGCAGAATGGCTCATCTTGGTGACCAAGATGCAGATCATCATTGTGGGAGAAATTCCGGACGACCAGCGTCCAGGAGCAACAAGGAAGCCTCGAGTGCGACCATATTGGGAGCCGTGCGGACGCGGTCGTGGAAGGAGTGGCTGCTGGGCGTGGTGGCTGAACGGTGCGGCAGCGATCATCCCCTAGTCGCGTCTGACTTGGAGCGGTTGACGAATCAGAAGCGCGAGTGGTACCAGCAGCAACGAAAGCTTAGCGTAAGCACTAAGATCCACGATCCCCTTCGATCCCCTTAGATCCAACAGGCCGTTATTGCATCCATCTCCGTTTAGATCTCAAAGAACCATTCTGTTTTGGTTCGCCTTGAGTCGGCGTGCTATCTGACGACTCGTCACTGTGATCCGTCCAGGAGAGGGGCTCCGATGGAGGCGAAGAGGCGTTCATCGAGCATTTTCTCGTCGTTGGCTTGCACCCGGGAACCGACTTGACAGCTGTGGAAGAGGCTTCGTTGCATGACTTCAAAAATAGGAATCAAGTGAAAGGGCCCAAGGAAGAGGGTAGTAGCAGGCTTCCCAGTAGTCTGCTTCACGCCGCTGGCAGTGGAAGCATCGACAGCTCGCGCAGCAGCATCTGCAGCACGTGCAGCAGCAGCGGCTGCTCCAACAGCAGCAGCAGCAGCGGTGACAGCAGTTGTAGGCCTGTGAACAGGCCGAGCATGTATGAACCGAGCAGTGGGGTAGGGGTGTATCCTGGGCCCAGCAGCACGAGCTGCACGAGTCTAGCCTCAACCAGCGGAGGAGGCTTGAAGGTCGAGTCTCCAAATGGCTCGAACCATGGCCAGAGGCACGTGGCAGATGCCGTTCTCGCTGGTGGGAACAAAGTTATGGGAGGGGCGTATGACAATAGGGGGAGCATCGCGAGCAGCCTTGGCAGGGTGGCCAGCAGTGCAACACGGCTGACTAGCCGCTTCAGCAGCCTGTTTCGCGACAGCCTAGTAGCAGGGAACACTCCCAGAGACAGCTTTAGCGGGATGATGGGGTGGAGAGCTTGTGGGGAGGCTGGCACGAACGCAGCTGCTGGCAGCAGGAGCAGCAGCGTGAGCTGGGTGGTCAAGGCTAGGGAATCCGCTGCAACTGCTGCGGCCACTGCCGCATCGGCTGCTGCTGCTGCTGCCTCGCTTGCTGCTGCTTCAGCTGCCAGTCTGGCGAGGCTGGAGACTAAGGAACTGGTGGACTGTGAGACTGATGGGGAAGAGGAGATGGCGCAGGATGAGAGCTCCAAGGTTCAGCTGGAACCACAGGTCAGGCTTCAGTGTCCAATGTGCTCTCTCCAGTCATTTGTGGCCACAGGCTCAACCCGTAATCAACCAGTCACTTAGGGTTCTCTCTCTCTCCTCTGCAGCTGCTGTTCAAGTTCCCCCCAGGCAAGAAGCTCGCTCTCTCCCCATCAGACCTCCCGGGGTTCTGCTTTCCTAACGGGATCAAGGTGAGTGTGTCCTGGCACCTGGTGCTTGAGAACAAGCACAACCCATCACCTCAATACCGGGACCTGCTGCCACGCTGCTTGCTCAATGGTTAGTCCATACACCACGGGGAGGTTCGCCAGCAAGCATCCCCATCATCTTGCAACGTGTGTGTGTGTGTGTGTGTGTGTGTGTGTGTGTGTGTGTGTGTGTGTGTGTGTGTGTGTGTGTGTGTGTGTGTGTGTGTGTGTGTGTGTGTGTGTGTGTGTGTGTGTGTGTGTGTGTGTGTGTGTGTGTGTGTGTGTGTGCGTGCGTGCTTGACCCCGTGTGTCGTTCAGGCCACTGTGCTGCGCCGAAGCCCTTCCATGAGCGACCTGCACCGAGTCATCTTCGGACAGGTATGGCCAGCGCAGTCATCGTCTGGCAGGTATGGCCAGAGCATGCATGTACACCCGGGGGCCATGGCATCGTGGCAGGGCATGGCATGGATAGGGTGTTTCAGACACATATGCGCCCATTCCTCCATGGATAGGGTAAAACTGGGTGTACCAGAATGTGCCTCCTTACCTTCCACCTTACGCGCTCCTTGTGCCCTTCCCCCCCCCCGCCCTCCACAACCTATGCTTCATTAAGTCTAGTAGTTCCGCTTCTAAGTGGGGAGAGTAGAGTTTTGTGCTGGTGCATTCCCTCCTCTCCTGACTCCCCTTTGCTCTGCCTGCCCTCCCCCTACTTGCAGGCATATCAGCGCTCAGACAACTCTGCGTTTGTCTTCCTTCTCAAGGTATGCTGCGCCCAAATCTACGTGCCTTAGGGAAGCACTCTCTCAGTGTGGGTTCAGGGGGTTCCACAGGCCATCCACCCGTCACATTCCAACCCCTCAGCCTCATTTCACAAAACTTCTGAGTCGCCTCAGAGGTCACAACACGACCCCCCCTCCCGCACCTCACGCCTCCCGTCCACCCCATCCACTGCCCCTGGTGCATATGCCTCAGGTGGCGAACAACACGACGCTGTACGGGGTGTGCATGGTGGTGGAGGAGATAGTGCAGCGCCCACCCGGCGTGCTCGCAGTGGCGGGCGACGGGGCCGTGTGGAGGGACGCTGACGACGCTGATGCGCCCACACACATGCATGGGGGAAGAGATATGGCTCTGGAGGAGGGGGGGGTGCAAGGGGAGGAGATGGATGCGGGGGGATATGGGGGAGGCAGGGGGCGGGCGTTGCGGTGTGTGGTGACGGCGCCGCGATGCTACTGCATTCTGAGCCGCGTGCCGTGCATTGAGCTGCACTTTGAAGTGCTCAGAAGGTGCCTTGGCTTGCCATGCGCGGCCCTTGCACTGGCCCCCCACGTCACTGGTGCCTTCCTTGTTGTTAGTGCCCTTTGCCGCTGCAGCACGTTGGGATCACTCAGCCACAACTCCTGTCACTTGCTCAATCACCAATCTCACCCCATGCCCCTCCTTCAACCCTACTTTCCCCACCCATGACCCCCTTGCTCACTGACCCCTGATCTCTTACCCCTGCCCCAACTGCTCCCCTGGCCCCCTGCACCATCCCCTGTTGCTGTGCCCGCGCCCCCCTCCACAGTGTGCTGGTGCAGGAGCGGCTGGACCGCATAAAGCAGCACAGCGGCACCATGGCCATGTCCAGGGGCCTCTCCACATCCACGTCCAACCGCGTGTCCCGAACTGCCAGCATGAATGCTCCCTCCATGAGAGGCCGCACTGATGGCACGGCTGCTGCTGCTGCTGGTGCCGCTGGCGCTGCTACTGGTGCTGCTACTGGTGCTGGTCGTTGTGGCGCTGCTGGTGGTGGTCCTGTTGCGAAGGGCAGCAGTGGTCTGGTTAGGGCCAAGAGCAGGTTTTGCGAGGAGGATGTGGCAGCATGGAGGGAGGAGAAAGGGGAGGGAGGGGAGGCGCCGGCAACAGCAGCATGTTCGTCTGAGACAAGGCGTGTGCTAGAGGATGGGAGGGGCGACAGTAGACGGGGACCACGAAGTCGACATGTGGCGAATGGGAATGAGACGGTGGTGCAAGGGGGAAAACAAGGGAGCCATCGTGGGATTGCGGAGCTGCATGGGGGGCCAGTGTGGGCGGGGGAGGAGGGTTGGAGGGAGCATGAGGAGGGGGGGGAAGCAGGCGATGGGGGCGAGGGGGATGAGGGCGGGGAGAGGGGAGCATGGCAGTCGACCGTCATTCCTCTCGCATATCTGCAGCAGCTGCACTTGAACACAGCAGCCACTGGCGCTCATCCCGCTGCCTGCACCCGCAGCAGCAGCAGAAGCTACGCTCCAGAGGGGGAAGAAAGAAGGGCTCGACTTGAAGGGGCAGCAGCTGCTGGTGGCTGTGGTGTGTTGAACGCTGGTTTGGCAGCAGGCAAGGGGGAATCTGGGCGGAAGGGGGCGCGGGGCGGAGGGCCGCCGGGAATGATCCGCGTGCGGAGTGTTAGGCTGGCAGGCAGCGGAATCGGCGGCTTGCGCAACGCCTTCCCTGCTGCCCCAGCTGCAGCGGAAGCCGACAGCTCTGCTAATAGCGAGAATGACCTTAACGAGGATAGTTCTGAAGGGAGTGACGACGGGAGCGAGAAGAGGGGGAGGAGGCGGCGGCGGGGAGGGGAGGAAGCGGGCATTGCGTTGGATGTGGTGGGCCGAGGGAAACTGCCAACAACTGTTTCGGAGCTTGCGTGCGCCGCAGGCGAGGGAGGGAGGGAAGGGGACGGGGAGGCAGAGGGAGAGGCAGAGGCAGAGCCAGGGGCAGAGGGAGATGGGGAGAAGCGAGAGGAGGGAGAAGAGGATGGGGAGCGCATGACGAGCAGCGAGTTGGCGTACGACGAGGAGGAGAGGCTGCTGCGCGAGGTGGCGGATATTCTAAATCTCTGGGAGAAACGGGGAGAGCGGGGGAGCGCCGGTGGAAGCAGAGAGGAAGCGGCGGGCGGGGAGGAGTCAGAGGCGCAAGATTGGACTGCAGGCGGGGGGCGGAGTGCGGGGAACGGGGCGGACGGGGAGGCTGAGCGAAGAGAAACCGGGGAGGAAGAAAAGGGAAGAAGACTCTTGGAGGGAGGAAGAGGCAGAATCCGAGAGGGGAATGCGGGCGAAGACTGGAGCAGCGGCGAGCACGGGAGCGGCAGGAGCAGCGGCAGCAGCAGCAACAGCACCAGCACCAACATGCGGCCTCTTGATTGGTCGCGGCGAATGCGGAGGAGCACGTCGCTTGCGAGCAAGGTAAAGAAAGCGTGGAGGAGCGTCGGCGAGGGAGGAGGGCTCGAGGCCGGCAAGTGGAGGGGAAAAATCGTCCAGGTCGCCAGAGGTGTCGTGGATAACGGGTCCCGCTATAACGCGGACGGCAGCGCGAGAGGGGACCGAGCGCGCGGGAAAGCGAGCGCGGAAGATGGGGCGGGATGGCGGGAGTGGGAGGAGTGGGGTTGGGAGTCCGCTAGTACGAGGAACGGACGGGGCGAGAGGTGCGAGAGCGCGAGGGAGGGAGGGAAGGCGACGAGCGGCAACGTGTTCTCGGGGCTGCCAGGGCTGTTCCGCAACCTGACGACGACCGACGCCAGGTGAAAATGTCTCGCGAGCCCCCCGCGCAGCGGCGATGGCCGTCCCTGGATCACAGCGCCACCCGTTTTCCGCGTAGATTTGACGAGTTCGGAGATTCGGCTCTTGCATCCGACAACCACGTTTTTCCAACACTTTTAGCCAAACCTGAAGTCACTGCTGCACTGCACCACCATCCCATCCCATCACCTACCTTCGGGTTTTTTACCTGCAGTGAAACCCTAAACTTCCCTTTCCCAGCCTCTCCACACGAACAAATGACAGAAGACAATAAGGAGAAAATGGAGGAGACGAAATCCTCCCCATTCTAGCTCTCTTTCAAATCACTGTCTCGTTCCAGCCCGCCTTTTCTCTCGCCGTTCTCCACTCCCCGCTCCCGCTCGTCCTCATCAATGCCTCTTTCCCTCCAACCTCTCCTCCCCGCCCAAACCCCAGCCGCAGCAGCAGCCGCAGCAGCTACCAGTGGCTGGAAGAATGCGCCGCTCTTGCTGCTTCGGAGGAGAGGGAGGGGCGGGCGGGCAGGGGGGAGCAGCAGACACTGAGAGATGACGGCGGGGGGGGGAACAAGAGGGCTGAGAGTGTGGGGGGGCAGTAGAGGAGGGGAGGGGGGAAGGAGGGGCGGAGGGGGTGATGGAGAGGCAGGGGGAGGTGGAGGGAGGAGAGTGTGGGGGAGGGAGTGCAGCAGGGCGGTGTGAGTGTGAGGGCGGGTGTAGGGAGGTGTGTGAAGTGAGTGAGCCGCATGGGCAGGGGGGAGCGGAGGAGTGCGGGGAGGTGTGTCCGGGCGAGGAGGACAGTGTGGAGCAGGAGGAGCGGGAGATGGTGCGCGAGATGGGCGGCCATGGCGCCCTCGCAGGGGGGGACTATGGGGCTGCTGCTGTGGAGGAATGGGCCCGGGTGAGGCTGGGGGGGGCTAGGGGCTCTGTGCCTCTTGGCTGCGGGCAAAGTGTTGCAGGTTGGGGGGGGGGGCTTGGGGGTTTCTAATTCGGAGAATCTTCACAAAGTGACCGTTTGTGCCTGATGCGCTACTCTATAGACCTGACACCCTGAATCCACCTGCAACCTTACCGCCTCCATCCCAACCCCCTTCCCCCCAACCTTTGCACCTCTACCTCCCTCTCCCTCACCTTTTCTCCCCCCCGCCTTCTCCCCCCAGCAACACGGCAACGACTCGCTGCGCATCGTGTGTGCCTACCACTGCCTGCCCCTGCCCCCTCCCGCCCAACCCATTGTCTTCCACCCCCTCCCCCACCACCAACCCATCGTCTACTCCCGCCCTATCCTCCCCCTCCCCCGCTCCCTACACCCCCTCTCCACCTCCTCCTCCTCCCCCTGCTCCCCCTCTTCCCATCCCACCTTGCCCTCCTCTCTGCTCTTCTTGCATATGCCTGCTGTTGTGGTGAGAGGAGGGCGGGTGGGGCAGGGGGGGGGGGTTGGTGGGGGACCTATGGATCCTCAATTCTGTTGAGTTTTGTTTTTTGTCTACGTAGTTCTTCTGTTTCATCAAGAATTTTCAGGTTTGTTCGTAGATCTTTGCATTGAGGGGGTGAGGAGATTGAGGTGAGGGGGCGTGGCATGGAGGAGGGGGGACAGGTGTGCCGAGCAACAGGGCAAACAGACACCCATGCGAGAAGGGGTGAGAAGAAAAAGGGGAGAGCGGGGACTGGTGGCATGGGAGGGAGTGGCAAGGGGGGATCTAAAGGCATTAATGTTTCCAATTGGGTTTGATAGGCATTAAGTTTTCCAAGTGCCCATGCTTTTTCTCAAAGCATGGGCTTGAGGGGTTTCTGAAGCGCAGATGGTGAAGGCTAGGAAGGAGGAGAAAGGAAGGAGCAACAGAATAGCTGCCATGAACTCGAGAGGATGTCTGATTGTACATTATGGTGTGGTTGAGGGTGGTCCACAAATGTCTGTGCATGTCCATGCATGCCCATGCATGCCCATGCATGTCTATTGTAGTACACATCCATCAATGTATGCGTGTGTCTGTCTGTTTCATGCCCATCCCTGCATGCGCCCATCCCTGCATGCGCCCATCCCTACATGCGCCCATCCCTGCATGCGCCCATCCCTGCATGCGCCCATCCCTGCGCGTGCCCATCCCTGCACGCGCCCATCCCTGCATGCGCCCATCCCTGCATGCGCCCATCCCTGCATGCGCCCATCCCTGCATGCGCCCATCCCTGCATGCGCCCATCCCTGCATGCGCCCATCCCTGCACGCGCCCATCCTTGCATGCGCCCATCCCTGCATGCGCCCATCCCTGCATGTGCCTGTCTGCACCTGTCAGGCGGAGCACCAAGCCAACTTGGAGGAAGCTCTGGGATTCTCTCCCTTCTCCATCATCTCTCTCTGCCGCTGCCTCTCCCTTGACAATGTAACTGCTCTCAACCCTTCACTAGTTCTCAGCCCTTCACCACCTCTCAGCAACCTTCAGCGGGCCTCATTGCATTCTATTCGATCTCCCCTTCCCCGTCGGTCTTCATTCCCCTCAACCTCTCTTCGTTTCCTGTACTTGTGTCTCCAAATCTCTACCAAACATCCCCTTTCCCCCAAACTCTGGATTTTGCTCAACTTCTCCCACCAAACTCTGTATGTATGTATCTCGTGTGTGTGTGCGTGTGTGGGTGTTCAAACATGTGTGTGCGTGTGTGGTTGTTTGAACATATGTGTGCGTGCATGCACGCTTGTGTGCTGCTGCACAGGTTCTGCTGGTCCTTGCAGCAGTGCTGCTTGAGAAGCAGCTGGTCGTCATCTGCCCCAACATGGTGCGCTCGCCCTCTCATTGCTCCATTCCCCTCTCATCCCTCCATTTCCCTTGTTGCGTCCTCACTGATTCCATTCGTCTTGTTCACATGCTAGTTTTCTTTTCTAGGTCAAATTAAGTCTGTTGCACAACTCATTCCTTACACAGCACTTTTACTCCGCATCTCACAAACTCCTCCCCAGGCCCCTGTACACATGTCTCTGTTCCACCCAATCTACGGTACTAACAAGTCATCAAGCAATCCCCCCTCCCACTCCCTCCTCCCCCCTCCTCTTCCCCCACCCCCCCCCCCTTGACTGCCCCCAGAGCCTGCTCTCCTCGGCAGTGCTCGCCATCGTGCCGCTCATCCGCCCCTTCATCTGGCAGTCCGCCCTTCTGCCGGTGTGCTTCACCGCACCCCCTCCCCCCCCTCTCTCCATCTCTCACTCTCCTCTCTCCCTCTCCCTCTGTCCCCCTCCTTTTCCCTCGGGCAGCAGCTCCATGAGCCGTCCCTCCCCCGCCGCTCACCTGTTTGCCATTCGTGCACGCAGTCCACTGAGCAGCAGCCGTGAATATATGCCTTCTCTTACTTGCTTCTTCACTTACTCTCTCATGTTCCGTGTTTTTTTCTCGAAGAGATACATGCTACTCTTTCTCGCCTCACGACGCTGTGCTCCCACGCCCCTCATTATGACGCTCCATGCACTCCTCTCCCAAAATCCAACTCCATACACACACATAGTTGTGTGTGCTCGCACTCCCTGTGTGTGTGCCGTCACCTTTTCCACGTGCCCCACTCACCTGCCCCTCGCCTCCCTCTCTCTCTGCAGGTCCTCCCTTCCCAGCTGCTGCCGTTCCTCGACGCCCCAGTGCCCTTCGTGGTGCGCACATCCTCACACCCTCTCCACTTCCACCTGCACGTTTCAAGCGCGCCTCTCTCTCAAGCGCCCCTCTCTCTCTCTCTTGCTCCTCCATTCACGTGCGTTCACTCTCATTTTACTTGCCTCTTCTCAGGCCATTCCTCTCTCATCACTGCGTTCCTCCCCCCTTCCTCTCTTCTTCTCACCATCCTTCCATCACCCGTCAATTTCTGCATTGACCTTCTTTTATAACCCCCCCAACTTCCACTTCCCCTCTCTCTCCCCCCTCACCCACCCTTTCCCCCTTAATGCCTCTCTCCCCCGGACTCCTCTCAGGTGGGTCTGCAGGCCCCCATGGCGTGTGTGAGGGAGAGGACCTCCTCCCTCGTTATAGTAAACCTCGCTAAGAACAAGGTGCTGGTCTCCCATGCTTTGTTTGGCGGGCCGCTCTCCCCCTCTCTTGCCTGCGCTGCCACACACGAGACATGTCTGCCTTGTGCCTCTAGGGTCTCTTGTGCCTCATATGCGTGCTTACATCCCCATGTTTTCAGTCTGCAGGGAAGAGAGCATGCATGGTGCTCACAGTACCTGCTGCTGAACCACTCTAGCCTTCCTCCTTCCACTGTCAAAAGCCCCTCCTTCCCACACCCGTTTCTCCACCACACACCCTCCACCCCACCATTGCCCCCCCACACACACACAGACACACTGCCCCCGCCCCTCCCCCTCTCTTGCCTGCGCTCCCAGGTGTCTCTGCCCTGCGACCTGCCTCTGCTGCCGGAGCACCAAGACCTGGCGGCGTGCTTGCTGCCGCACCACTCTGCCATGGCAGGGGATGCTGATGCTGCCACACGACTCGTCTTCCGCACCACTCCAGAACAGGTAGGCACCACTTCAAAAGAGGTATGCATGATCACCTTACGTGCAGCAAGGCTTTCATTGCACTCCCAGCTTAACTGTCTTACCACCTTACTCCCCCAGCTCCTTTATAAATTCCCCTTCTAGTGGGCCTCTGTCCTTACCATCCGTTCCTTCCCACGGGCGCAGGCCCGAGCGGCGGAGCACTTCCAGGCGAGTCTGGTGGCGTACTTCCAGTCCTTTTGTGCCTCCATCCGCAGCTACACCGTCACCGCCATCGGCACCACGGGGGAGAGAGTGAGTGCACAGCCACGCCACACCTCATTGTCGGCTAAATGGCCCACAAGCAGACTGGCAGACACCCAGCAGACAGGCAGATACCCAGCAGACTCGTTCCCCTGGCTTGGGAATGGTGTTGTGTCTTTGGCGGTCCTTGCAACAGATTTGCATGCCTGTGTGCACTCCCTTCTTCTCGCAGCCAATGCATGGTTTTGCTGCTTCTTCCTTTCTGTGGGTCAATCTTCCACATGCCGGAACACCCCCAACACCACATTAAAGCATCAACTGCTCCTGTACCCTCACTACCCTTGTACCCTCCTCAAGTGCCCCTGGGCCCCCTCAACCACCCCTGAACTCCCTCACTACCGCTGGGCCCCCTCACCCGCCCGTATGCCACATTGACCACTCCCTTTGTGCAACAGGTGCCTGTTCTGCTCAAGGATGCGTTTGTCAACTCCTTCTCACCCAAGAGCCAGCCATTTTTCAAGGTGCACTCCTAGTCTCCTGTCCTAGTTGATGTGCCACTGGTCACATATTGGTTGCAGTGTAAGAGATTTCAGCCGTGTGTTTCTCCATTTGTCCTGTTACACTGCTGCCTACATATTGCAATATTGTATGTTGTGTATTTTGTCAAGCCACACGACCGCCTACCCAGACATGTGCATTTGTTCTTTCTTATATTCCCCTCCCCCCAGCTTTTCTTTGAGACTCAGATGTTTTCAGTCCACAGTGACAAGCTGCTTGCCTTCCCCGAAATGGGAGCCAAACCGAATTTTGGCGAAGCAAGTGGGCTGTGAGTGCTGTACAGCAAGCCGCCATGTTAGCATACTAGGTTGATAGGTGGTGGTTGACTTTGCATAGTAGTGTATGGTCCATGGTGGTTGATTTCTTGGATATGCACCACAAGCGATTGCCATCAGGAGGACCCTGCCTTACTGCCCAGATTAAACACACTAGGTTCATATCCATCCTGGTCAAGCAACAAGAGAATTGTTGAATCGTGGATTGTTTGAATAAACATATTCTCATAGCATGATTGTCTAAGATCGGCTCCATGTGGCATACGTGTCACATTTCCACATATTGCATTGCATGCATGAAGTGAAGTATGAAGTGTTGGAGATAATGTCAACATATATTTTGTATATGTTATGGGCTAGATAGGTGCAGTCTTATAGAGAGTACAACACCTTAGACAAAACTACCCTGTATCACATATTCGAGTCAATCTTTCTACTATGAGGTGGTATCACGCTAGGTTAGGATCCCGCCCACACGCGCTTCCGCCCTAGTCCTAGCCTTACCCCGAGCCGGCCGCCACCTGTCCGCCGCCCGTCGCTGCCGCCCATAGTCGCCAGGTGCCCGTAGCCCGTTGGCCGCCTGTCGCCGCCCGTAGCCGCCAGCCACCCGTAGCCACCGGCCCGCTGGCCGCCCTTAGCCGCCAGCTACCCGCCGCCCGTCGCTACCGCCCCTAGCCGCCAGCTGCCCGTCGCCCGCTGGCCTCCTGTCGCCGCCCGTAGCTGCCAGCCGACCATCGCCGCTAGCCGCCTGTTGCCGCTGCCCGCTTGTCGCCGCCAGCCCGCCTGTAGCCGCTGACCGCCCCTCGCCGCTGGCCGCCCGTCGCTGCCAGCCCGCCCATAGCCACTGGCCGCCCGTCCCCGCTGGCCGCCCGCTGCCGCCAGCCGCCCGTAGCCGCTGGCCGCCCGTAGCCGCCACCCGCCAGTAACCGCCGACCGCCCGTCCCCGCTGGCTGCCCGTTGCCGCCAGCCTGCCCTTAGCCGCTGGCCCGCAGCCGCCCGCCCATAGCCGCAAGCCGCGCCCCCCCCCCCCCCCCACCGCTGGCCGCAACTCTGCCGGTCCCAGCCCGCCCCGGCCCTTCTCACCGCCGAACCGAGCTGACCCGCCGACCTTGGCTTCCCCTGTGAGTCGGCGCTCCCGCCGGCAGTCTCCACTGCTCTCCACTGCACTCCACTGCACTCAACCACTCTCCACCGCATTCCACTGCACTCCACCATACTCCACCGCTCTCCAATACCCTCCTCCGCTTCCCCCCCCCACTTGTCAGCGGCAGTCAGTTGCTGCAGCTATGGTGATGGCGGACTCTCTGCTCTGCCTAGACGCGGAGGGTCGGGCCGTTGAGTTTGAGGCGTGGCTCGTCGACCTCCGCCGCCAGCTGACTAGGCAGCGCCAGGACGGCCACTCCCTGGCCGTCCATGTTGACCGTAAGCTCCCTTGCCCCGCCCCGCCTGCTGCCCTCCCTGACGCTCCGACGTCTGCTCAGCGTGAGGCTTTTGTCGCTGCTGAGCTTGCCTGCGCTGTCTGGGATTCGCGCAATGTCGTTGATCAGCTTGCCATTAGTCATGCCCTCCCCCTGTCTGAGCGTCCCAGCTTTACCGCTGTAGTAAATGTCAAGGAATACTTATATGCCATCATTATGCACTATTCCATCCCCGCCTCAGCCTTTGCTAGCTGTCTGATCCTCCCCATGCTGTTCCCTGACCTTGCTTACTTCCCTACTGTCCTTGACCTTTCCACTCACCTTCGCGCACTGGAGACTAGCTACCGCACCGCTAGCACTGAGGCACAGCTCACTGTCTTCCCACCGCCACTTTGCGCTACCCTTTGCCTCAATGTCACGCGCCTTCTTGACTGCCTAGCCACTGCCCACGACCACTTCCTTAATCAGCACCCATGCGACCTCACCCTTACTGCCTTTGTCACCGCCCTGTCCGCGATAGAGACCCGCCAGCGCACTATTGCTCAGTCTAGCGGTACTGCACCGGTCCCTATTTTCTAGGGCTGTGCTCCCTCCCAGTGCACTTATTCTGATGTTTCTGCCGCTGCCGCTGAGACAACCCCTGCTGTTGAGATAGCTGCTGCGGCCTCAGCGCAGCAGCATCCGGGTAAGGGTCGTGGTGGCCTGGTGGCGCTGGTGGTGCTGGTCGTGATGGTGGGCCGCACAGCTCAGTGTCGGGTGGCGGCTCCAGTGTGGCCACCTGCTAGTACCAGCTTCAGTCCGTCCCCCGTCGCGGCACTGTCTGCGACCGTCCTGGTCACACCGCCGCCCGCTGCTACCGCCGCCTCGTTGACCTCTTCCGTCTCCGCTTTGGTCCTACGTCGGACCCTCAAGATTGGTACGCCCTGTGGCGCTGTCGTATGCCTGTCTTTGAGCTGGACATGGACCAGATTAGGTCTGCTATGTATGTCATGTATGCTGATGACTCTAGTGTGACTGCCCCCTATTACCCGATGTTGCCTTGTGTATGTATGTCCACTGAGTATAGTCTAGTTTCCCCTACTGCGTCAGGCGTAGGACCACCTGCATTGTTTAGCCTCGGCTCTACGCTACATTAGCTCCTCCGCCTGCGGCCGCTACCGCCGCGCTCTCGTTCATGCTAGGCTCTGGTGCATCCGCCTCCTTCTTTCGCAACCACACTTCGCTCACGCCGCTTGCCGCCCCTGCTGCTGTAGCGCTTGCTGACCCCTCCTCAGGTATGGTAGTTGCCCGTAGCTCCACTACCCTTCCCTGCCCGGCGTTTCCCTCGGGCTCTCTTACAGGCATGCACATCCCCTCATTCTCCAAGAATCTAGTTGGTGTCGGCTGTTTTCAGGACCTTTACGTAACCACTACGTTCCATGGACACGAGCCGTACGCAGTCTGTACCAAGGCCGCCACTGGTGCCCCTTCTACCACGTCTCCCCGGGACCCCGTGTCTGGCCTGTTCACGCTGGACACCGCGTCCCCTCCAGTCAGAGCGTCCCCCAAGGTCGACGCGTCCTCCTTGGTAGCTGCAACCTGCTCATACCGGTCGCTCACCCACCCTTCATTGATGTGGCACCACTGCCTAGGTCACCCTGCACTCCCGCGTCAGTGTCACATGTCCCATCACAGGCTTGTCTTTGGTCTCCCTGCATCGCTCCCTGCCCTCCCTCCCTCGCGTGCACCGCAGTGCACGCCCTGCGTTGAGGGTCGGCTCCGCCGTGCTCCTCACTCCTCCTCACTCCCCGTACTACTGCGCCACTCCAGACCCTGCACCTGGACGTTTGCGGCGCAACCCCGGTCCCCTGGCCACGTCGAGAACGCTACTTTCAAGTGCTTGTCGATGACTACGCACGCTACACTACGATGTTTCCCCTGGAGCGGAAGGCCGACGTGCCCGACGTTCTTATCCCGTGTATAGTAGCTGTGCAAGTCCACCATGGCCTACCTGTGTTGCGTCTTCACCACGACCGTGGCGGCGAGTTCACCTCCAGTCGGCTTGGCCACTTCTGTCGTACGGAGGGCATCGCCCAGTCGTACACCCTGCCAGACTCCCCGCAACAGAATGGGGTCCCTGATCCATGCCCCCGCACCCAATTTCTGTGGTCGTTTTCTGTTTGCTACGCCACTCACCAGCTTAACTTGTAGCCACACTCCCAGCGGCCGCAGGTTTCGCTGACCCTTCTCTGGACCAGTTTCTCTGGTAACGCGTCTGCGTTCCATGTTTGGGGCTCCCTTGCTCACGTTCGTGTGTCTGGCACGGACAAGCTCACTGTCCGCACCGTCCCTTGTGTCTTCCTTGGTTCCCCCCTCGACGCGTATGACTGGCACTTTACAAGGAGCAAACATTATCCTAACCAAGCGGGCTAAACGAGACATGAATATAGAAAATCCACAGTTAATCCCGCGGCTCGGGTGCTGCTCCGTGCCGAAATGTCGAGGCTTCTTTTAAAGGCAACGTCTCATGTTTCCTACCGCCCAAAGGTATTGCCTTTCGTGGGTGGGTCTGATTGGGTGACGAGGGGCAAATTTGTCAAAGAGAGTGGACGAAGAATGCGGAAAATTTGAAAAATCGTGGTAGGTCGAACTTTGATATGGTTTCGAGCCTTATATTTCTACGGACACGTATTACGTTTGGTTTGAGCCCACGAAACGTTGAGGGCGTGGATGGTGAGTGTTGGGATCTCAAAGTTTCGCAAGCAATTGCCATTCCAGTTTTGAATTTGGGGCCAAAATTTTATTGCGTAAGACACTTTCGGATCCTGATTCCATGGAACGAGCCCAGGTTCCGAAACCTCGATTATCGCGAACGTGTTATCGAGTTCGCTTTGGTGAGGTTGGATATCTACTCACTTACAAAGAGAACATGCGTTACCTAGTACCAAGCGTACTACCTTGGGCAATATGAGATGCGGGCTTTAATCACCTAGTCTACGGACACGTATTACGTTTGGTTTGAGCCCACGAAACGTTGAGGGCGTGGATGGTGAGTGTTGGGATCTCAAAGTTTCGCAAGCAATTGCCATTCCAGTTTTGAATTTGGGGCCAAAATTTTATTGCGTAAGACACTTTCGGATCCTGATTCCATGGAACGAGCCCAGGTTCCGAAACCTCGATTATCGCGAACGTGTCATCGAGTTCGCTTTGGTGAGGTTGGATATCTACTCACTTACAAAGAGAACATGCGTTACCTAGTACCAAGCGTATTACCTTGGGCAATATGAGATGCGGGCTTTAATCACCTAGTTACGTACTTCTCGCACTAGCTATGGGGAAGATGCCTATATGGTATTTGAAAGTCGAGATTGACGAAAAGAAAACTAACCGTTTGATAGGCTACTTCATTAGCCAGTCAGTTACCTTAAAAAAATCTCAGATACTTTGACCTTTAGAGAGATAGAGAGAAAAAAAAAATCCATGTCAAATCAATTCATGCCGAGTGCTGGTAGGTGAGACTGTACGTAGGGTAATGAGAGCAGGCGATATTCAAAAAGTGTTAGCATGAGTGAAAGTGAGACTGTTTTTGTTGCGAGACTCTAAGCCAAATCAGGTGTAACTTTGTGGGCCCACTTTGACCAATACATTACAGTTCCAGCCCCCCGCCTTCGAAACACTTTATGGAAGAAGGATGCCAACGTTACGACCAGAGTTCATGGGAGTCCCGACCCGAAACTCAAGTTCAAACATTTCCAGAAGCTTTCGAACATGTCTACAAGTTCCCTGCAGTTGGTACAGGATTAGAGCTTGCGGGTTCCCGAGTTCCAATACTCGGGATGTCCTGGTACAGTACACCCGTATCATATTAAGCAGGGTGTCTTAGTGAATGTGAAGGGTACCATGTTTTTGTACCCAGTAGTTACAGGGGTACCACATGTTGTACTCACACCGTGGCAACATGAGCATCATTTCCGTGCAAGCCGGATTCACGGCCTGGTTCCAGAAGGCGAGTGGCAGTTATATTGAGAACTGTAGATCTATGGCGGTACAGCACGGCTATCACAGCACGGCTCACTGATTTTTTTGAGTCGAATACACATGAAGTTCTTTTGATGCCTTTTTTTGGTTTCGAGAGTGTGTTCCAAATTCGAGCACGTAACTTTCACGGGTGATTTGGGCCAATATACGGTAGTCTGGTTTCCTTGTTGGCATTTTCCAGTCTAAAGCCGGTGACCATTGTTGCTTGTTTGCGTACCTCCAGCAAAAGTGTAAGGTATGAGAACGTCTCGTCTGCTCGTTTGGAGGTCTCTGTATCAGATGTGGTAACTGCTGCAGATTGTTCGGCTTGTTTCGGCTGAGCCGTTTTCCGTACGTTCGGATCATTTAGATTGTAAAAAACATCCTTAGCATATAATGAATAGTCGATTGACTGGACGTCAGGTGTAGCTTTGCTTTATTTTTTTTTTTTGCAATGGTGACCTTCTACAGTTCAGGAGGAGGAGAACGCACTCACCCAGATGGGCTGACTTGTGATGTGACAATTGACCACGACCAATTTAATGAATTGCAGGGGCACCTGGTGAGGGCGGAGGAGGAGCAAGCCAGTGCTCGAGTTTCTGTGCCTGCCTGCCACCACCACATCACACCGCCTTGAAAAATAGTTTAACACATCATAACGCAGTTTACCGCACCACACCACACCACACCACACCACACCATCACGTCAAATAGGGCCGTTTTCTGCTTTTGGCTGGGGTAGCCCAATGCGATGCAAGTAACAAACCCTCGCAAATTTTGTGGCTTTTATCCATCCAATGTACCTTCTGATACTGCTTCGACAAAATCAGAAGCCTGTCTCAGATTGGTTGGGCGTCCTTGGCTTCAACTCGTCCCTGATTCCCACAACTCGAACATTCCATCTTCTATTATATTTTTCAGCCGCGGGCAGTTGGTCTCTCGTTGTGGGGCAAGCAATGTACGTTGGCACCACCAAATTCCTTCCAACCATGCAGAAAGCAGGGCGCAGGGGCAAAAATAATTCAGGATGGTAGGAGTGTTGCCTAAAATGTAGGAGAAAATCTGTTGGACCGAGGTCGAAGAATCATGGGAACGTGGAAAACATGCTGAAAGCCGTCTTTGCTCACCCGCCCATCGGCGCACATGCACACCACAGCTTGTTGCAATCATTACGGCAAACATCAAGCTCATCATGATCAACGTGGAAAGGTTCATCGAGAAGGAACGAGAAGCCCAGCCAAGCAGCCTTTCACACACCGAGAACAGATTCGAATGGTGGGAAGAAACAAACCAGCAGAACCACCACTTTCTGTCGTAATTCAAGATACGAAACACTGAAAGTTTAGTATTTACAGAGTCTAGACACGAGGATTCTGTTAAGCGTTTGAGCAGATCACGGATCCCTGATATAACTCTGCTGTTGGGAACGTAAGTGCGTGCTTGCAATTTTTTAGTGGGAGTGAGCTGCTGCCTGTTGTACAGCGGCGCGGAAACACAGTACCTGCCCTAAACTCTATTGGCGGAACCCCTTTCCGATCGCTTTTCCCAAGCGCGACTCGAAACTCTCTGTAACCTTCGTACACAAGCAAATTGGTTCCCGAATGTTCGCATGTTTCCGGGGATTCAACCAACCATAACTAACTAACCGTGCCACGCCAGCAGCATGCGACCCAGCCCGTGGCAGGTATGAATTTCACTTGAGTCGCGTGGTCGTCCTCATCACATCACGGCGGTGGAAATTGCCCTTTGGGCTGCCGTGATTCATGACTGTCAAGCACTCCAGGTGGCTTTTGCCCTCTGCGAGTCACGACTCACAACTCACGACTCACGGCTCACGAGAGAGCCTCCAGCCGCGACCAGCAACAAAACGCGAGCATTTCATATCCAAATCAAAGCTCCTCCCAGTGCCTGCTCACACTACAGAAATCAGATGTTACGCCTACAAGACCAGAGTGTCAATCTCGACCCAAACCATTGTATATTCCCGGAACGAACAACACTAGGCCTGTTCCCAGACCATTCTGACGTCCCAGCATACTTAGCAAAAAGAAGGCGCGCCGTGCTTCCATTTTGCCCCATCACTTCGCCACAGCACCGACAACAATCTCTCTAAGAGTGTTCCACGGAGACTCTTCCAGTGCAGGGCTGACTCCCGCTCGAGCTCCGCATCCTTCGACCGGTTCCACCATGGAAGACGGTGCGCGGGTTCGGCCTCGAAATGATATGTATTCCCTCGAAGACGGTCGACTCGCGATGGGCGCAGCACTAGAGTCGCTGCCTGTAAGAAAACATGGAGCAAGTTAGCTCTTCTCATCCCGAGACCTAGCCCTTTTTACCTCTCGTCACTACAGTAGTGGCACTAGCAGCCGTTCATTTCTCGCTCGGAACGTCACTGCGGCGAGTCGTTCGAACAAATGGCTCCGCGATAGTTAGAGCGCACTGCAGACTCTTTTCTCTCTCTCTCGCTCGCGCATAACCATTTTCCCGCCTCCTTTTCTCCGTGCTGCTGTGACACCAGGACGAGCTCCTGCTCCTCATTCTCTCCAAGGCAGCAGCCGCCGCCGCGTCGCCTGTGGACTTGGCCAAGCTCGCCCTCACGTGAGTACAGTGAGCCTGCTCCTTGAAGCATTACTCGTCCTAGTCGTACTATTCCGTCCGGATTCCAGCCATGTGCTCGCGTTGTTCCATTTTCCGTCGGCCGCGGACGTCGGGTCGCCGTTCAGCGGCCGCGGATGTCGATCGAGGATTCGAGGGTTCCTCGACCAGGCGGCGGTCGCGTCGTTGTTCGCCGCTTTTGTCTTCGAGTTCAGCGTGCACTCTCAGTTTCAAACATTCCTGATCATTCATCGAGTCTGGTTCCCGCGATTAGGCATGATGCGACTGTCCAATTCGCTGCTATCAGTTCATGCTCTCCGCCCACCACGATTTTTGAGGCGCCTAAAAAATTAGTTCAATTTTTTAGGCGCCTCAAAAATTAGTTCATGCTCTGCGCCCACCACTGATAACCGTCTCCGTACCGCCCCCATGATTTCAACTCATCCCTGCAGCTCTCCCCGCTTCGCCCGTCTCGTCCGCGAGCCTCCGGTGCTCTCGCGCCTCCCCCTGCGCGCAATCCTTCCTTCCGCGCGAATCTGGGCCCCCGGCACGGGCGCGGGGCGCCCCGGGGAGAATGAGACAAACGCCGCGCGCGAATGTTTCGGCAGCTGGGGGGGGGGGGAAATTGCGCTGAAAAAGGAGCCGAGCGGCGCTGGGAGCGAGAAGTCTCGCATGGCGTGCCGCTTCCTGCTGCAGTGCGGGCTGGCGGGCTGCGCGGATGCACTCTACGCGCTAGGCATGGTGAGTGTAACGTCTGCGGACGGAACCCTAGAGGCGAGGCGTTATAGTGAGACGATGGTCATACTGTCTGCTCGGCCCGACTCGGCCCCATGGCGGAAGCGGCGGCCCCTGCGCATTCCGCGAACCCCGGGTTTGCGCCATGACTCGCGCGCCATGCTCCGCATAAGCGCGTCGCATGAACGATCCCCCATTGGAAGAGCATCATAAAGCTTTCATCCTCTTCCATCTAGGAGGAAGCTGGATGACTCCAAGCCACCTTTCAAATTCGCTCATTCCCCCCCTCCTCCCCATCTCCTTCCATTTTCGGCCCCTTCCTCTGTGCAGATCAAATTCTACTGCCACCGGGATTTCTGGGCTGGCGCGAGCCTGCTGGTGTGGGCGGCAGAGAAGGGACACGTGGCGGCGATCTACTCGCTGGCGATAATTCACTCTCACGGCAGTGGGGGCGGCAGCAGTGACGGCAATCCTGCAGCGGCAACGGACATTCTGTGGCATGCTGCCAGGGCCGGGAGCAAACAGGCGCTGCAGGAGCTGGGCCACTGCTACTTGGTACGGACCACTCTCCACCCCCTCCACACCCCCCCTCTTTACCCCCTCCCTCCCTCTCTATTTCTCTCTCCCTTACTACTTGTTTGACTCGGCGCTCTCCCCCCCCCCCCCCAACCCCCTAATCGTTTGAGTTCCATCTGCCCCACAGCAGCGCCCTTCCTAAGCCCACTCCCCCTCTTCTCCCTCTCCCCCATCCCCCCCCCTTCCTTCCCCCCTCCTCCCCTTCTCCCTCATTCCCCTTCCCCGCTCTCACCACCGCAGGACGGCCATGGAGTGCCACAGCGCACGCTGCTAGGCGCGCGACTGTTGCTCGCCGCCATGTGCCCTGCGCTCGCACACTCCCCGCACGACTCCCCTGTGCACGCTGCTGCTGGGGAGCTGCACAGGGGGCGGGCAGACCACACAGCAACAGCCCAACGGTCCCACATGGATCGGGGAATGGTCGTGACGTCTTACCGGCAGCGGCAGCAGCAGCAGCAGCAGCCAGAAGTAGCAGCAGCGGCTGCATCCCCCCCGATGGTTGCCACTGGGGTGGTGCAAGAGCCGTCGCAGGCCCGTAGATGGCTCCTGGAGGAGTGTCGATCTGAGCTTAGAGGTGGTGGGATGGGTTCAGTGGGTGCAGCGGGTGCAGCGGGTGCAGTGGGTGTTACCCGTACAGAAGCAACACCACTAAGCCACCTGGTCGCCAACTCGCCCCCCCCTGAACTGCCTGATTCTGCCCTAGGGTCGGGGGCAAATGTGCGTTCCAATGCGGCAGCTGCCTCTGTCTCCTTACAACCAGCTTCACTACAAGGACCATCGCTTTCTATGCAGCCATTGCGAGGGCAGCAGGGGCCAGTCATCTCCATTGTGCGATGTGCAGCAGGGTGCCACACTGCCATCTCTGTTCTCTCTCACTCCTCTTCCTCCTCCCCTGCATCTACCCACACTGTCGCTCCCTGCGCCTCTTCTGCTGCGCCTGGTCACATAACCGGCCTCGGCAGTTTTGCGCCATCTGCCCGCAGTAACCATCTTGCTTCGGGCTCAGCCCAACCAGCTTCGGACGTATCCAACAGGTGGCAAGTGAGCGATGCTCCATGGCATGCTGCGGCTCCTGGTTACACGGACACCATGGATGGCGCTCAAGGTTGGCGCACACCTGCAGTCTCAGCAGCACCTTCCTCGTCAGCAGCAGGAGCGGACCTAGACTTAGAAGCAGCAGCAGCAGCAGCCGCAGCAGCAGCAGCGGAGCAGCACGGGCTCACGTCGAAAATCGCAGAGCTTTTCGCTCCATCAGGGGAGAATGGAGGTGCTACAGAGGCAGAGCAAGGGCATGCAGTATTCGAGGACTCGGTACCAGCTTCTGGTGCTGGCGTCTCAAGTGGGGGCAGCATGGCAGCATTTTTCAAGGAGTGGAGTGCGGTGAACGGGATGCCTGAGGGATGCAAGATGTGTGAGAATGCGCACTGCAGGCGGCCGGAGACACGGGCTCATGAGTTCAGACGGTGCGTGGTGTGCGAGCGGGCGGCGTACTGCAGCAGGTACTGCCAGGTGATGGACTGGAAGAGGATACACTATAGGGTGTGCAAGTCCGCAGGGATGCACTGATTGCCGCTGACGAGTGCAGTGCAGACTGAAAGGAGCAGGTATACGGTATTACAACCTAGGTTACCACTTTTTGGGGTGACATTAGGCTGGCAGCCCTAAGAGGCATGAAATCCAGTAGCTTCTGAGGATTTCCAATAGATATGTCAAACATATTTGTATATGTTATAATAGCCTAGATAGGTGCATGCTCTTATAGGGTACAACCACTTGAACAAAACCAACCTGTATGCCTCATTCTAGTCAAGTTTCTACTCTGAGATGGTATCACGCACTAAGTTAGGTCTGTTAACGTAGAAACGAATAATAACTAGAAGTGGAAACCTAGAACAAATACTAGTTGGTTGTACTCACTAGAAGCATACCTCAGTCTAGCCTATAACTTCTACATAGATAATATGTATAAGTTGACACACCCCCTAGGCTAGACAAGGGGTGAAACTAAACAAGAAGCAAACAGCTCAGGGCGGCACTACTAGTCCAACCACTGAGGCAGGGGTCTGGAGACCAGTCAGCAATAATACAACCAAAACTGAAGCAAGCCAGGGTGGCACTACTAGTCCAGCCACTGGAGGTAAGGCCACAAGGCCAGTCTGATAAGCATATATAATAGAGAGTACACAATCAGGATCCTAACAGGGGAGCAGCTACAGGAACTAGACCAAGCTGTACACAGTGCCGCTGATGATCTTTAGGCGCAAGCGCCTTAGTAAAGATATCAGCTGTGTTGGCACCTGAGGCCAAGTGAACTACACGGGCCTGGCGGCGCTGCTGTAGCTCGCGCAGGAGGAAGTACCGCAGCTGGATATGCTTCGCTCTGCCCTCAAGCCGAGGCTCCTGACACAGGAGTATCATGGCCCTGTTGTCAGCGTACAGGACCGGGGCAGAGCTAGGCCGCTCACCTAAGTCTGTGAGCAAGAAGGTCAGCCAGCGGAGCTCCTGTGCCGCCATGGCACCAGCGTAGATCTCAGCCTCACAGCTAGACTGAGCCACAGACGACGAGCGAGTGGATCTCCAAGAGATAGCACCCGAACCAAGGCTGAAACAGTAGCCCTGCGACGACCTGAGCGTCTCAGCGTCGTCTGCCCAAGAAGCGTCTGTGTGCCCAGTAAGGACCACTGGCCTGCGTCCTCCTAGCACTAACCCCATGCCTGATGTACTAGCAAGATAACGCAAAACCCTCTTAGCGGCAGACCAGTGCTGAGGTCGGTGTCTGCCTGTAGCCACAAAGCGAGCCAGGATGCTGAGAGGGTATGCGAGATCTGGGCGAGTGCAAGTCATCAGGTACATGAGGCAACCCACCAGCTCTGCGTAGGGGCCACTGGGCTCTACTGGCTCCTCAGGAACGGGAGCAGAGAGCCCATGGTCTACGGGTAGAGGTGTGGGCTGTGCAGAGGAGAACTGAAGACCGAACCTCTGAAGGACCTGACGCACCAAGTGTGACTGGGTCAGAGTGATGGTGCGTGCTGCTCTGTCCCTAGAGATCTGCAGGCCAAGATAGCGACGCAGCTCTCCAAGGTCAGTGCAGGTGTGTCTCTTCAGCAGCTCAGCCTTCACAGAGGCCAGTGCGTCCCTGTCAGGAGTAGCGAAGACCAGGTCGTCTACGTAGACAAGGATGTAGAACGGAGTCTGGCCGGAACGCACAAACAGTGAAGGGTCAGCAGAGGACGGAAAGAACTGCAGGTCTGCTAACGTGGCACGTAGCGTGTCGTGCCACTCGCGGGGAGCCTGACGCAGGCCGTAGACCGGGCGCCTGAGAAGCCACTGGGTCCCAGGAGGGAAGGTACCAGTGAAGCCCTGTGGTTGGCGCAGGTAGACCTGCTCGTGTAGGCTGCCCTGAAGAAAGGCAGTAGAGAAGTCGAGGGAGTGAAGCTCGTAGTCGCGCTGTGCTGCTACATGTAGCAGCGCCCGAAGAGTGGTCATCTTCGGGGTCGGGGCGAAGGTCTGGAAGAAGTCAACCCCCTCGCGCTGACTGAAACCTCTGGCCACGTAGCGCGCCTTGAAGACAGGCGGCTCTCCAGGGGGGCGCTTCACCTTGAAGAGCCACCGACCATCGACTACGTTCACCCCAGGCGGGGGAACTGCGTCGACGTAAGTGCCGGTGGACCTCCAAGATGCCATCTCCTGCTCCATGGCAGCTATCCACTGAGAGGCCCAAGGTCCCGAGGTGACCTCAGCGTAGGTGCGAGGGGTCGGGATGTCGAAGGCGTCTGGGTCACCCTCAGGGACTAACAGCATGGAGCAGAGATGGGGAGCAGCCTCGGAAAGGAAAGCCAGCTCGTACTGCCTGTCCTCTAGGACGTCACTGCCAAGGGCAGGAGCACCCCCGACGGACGGAGGACGGGCAGGGTCAGAGACCAGAGCGGTAGCGTAGTCAAGGCGGCGGGTAGAGGCGAAATCAGCGACAGCAGCAACAAGCGCGTCAAGGCGCGAGACAGGAACAGCAGGGTCGGTAACAAGAGAGGCAAGGACCCGAGGGACAAGGGGACGAGCAGCACGGAGGTAGTCAGAGAACGGAGGAGGTGCAACTGCAAGGGACGAGGGAGGAGGGGACGGGAGGAGGGGAGGACGAGACGAGCGGGAACGGAGCAACATAGGGTGGGAGGGCAGGACAGGAGAGACGGGACGAGCACGGGAGGGACGGCGAGCCCAAACGTGAGACGGAGGTGTAGGGTCAGGGGACAGCGGAGGAGACACAGGAGGGGAACGAGGAGGAAGACGGGCCGGAGACGAGTCTGGCGGCGGGAACACAGGACCGTAGACAGGAAGGTCAGCAGGCGGTGGGGGAGACACCGTCGCACGGTCCGGGGAGGGAAGGCCGAGCAGGCGGAGAGCGGAGATCAGCGGCGACGGTTGCTGCGGCGGCGACGACGGCTGGGCCGGAACCCTCGGAACAGGAGAGGCAGAACGACCGTCGGCAGAACACTCAACAGCAGCACCCCAAGAACCAACACCCCCAGAGCGAGAACCCCCTCCAACACCAGCGGCACCCCCAGACGCCGCAGGACGAACACCCTCCTCCACACCAGCACCCCCAGGGGCCAAGAGCGGCAGCGGCAGTGGCGGCGACGACTGCGGCGGCAATGGCTGCGGCGGCGGCAAGAGCGGCGACGGCTGCGGTGGCGACGGCGGCGGCAGCTGCAGCGGGGTCGGCGACTGCGACAGTGGGGGCAGAGGCACCGGGGAAGGGGGACGCGGCAAGGACAGACCGGGGGTACCACCAGAGTCAGCAGACTCCTCAACGGGGACAACCGACGGGAGGGGAGTGACGTGAGAGACACCAGACGGGGCAGGACGAGGCGGGAGAGGGGCAGGGGCTACCAGGGGAGAGGGAGCAAGGAACAGGGGGGGGGCAACTGGGAGACCTCGGTGAGGGAAGCGGCGGTAGAAGGAGACGGACTCGTCAAAGGTGACGTCACGAGAGTGCAGGAAGCGGTGAGACGGCGGGTGATAGAAGAGCCAGTCAGATGAGTCCAGGGGGAAACCGAGGAAGACACAGGGGACAGTGCGGGCAGTGAGCTTGTCCGTGCCAGAGGTACGAACGTGAGCAAGGCAGCCCCAGATGTGGAACGCAGACGCGTCACCGGGGGACCCGGTCCAAAGGAGGGTCGGCGAAACCTGCGGCCGCTGGGAGCGTGGCCACAGGTTAAGCTGGTGAGCAGCGTAGCGAACAGCGAACGGCCACAGAAAATGGAGGGCATCGGCATGGATCATGGATGTACGGGCGACCTCCATGACCAAGCCGATGCGGCGCTCAGCAACCCCATTCTGCTGTGGCGAGTCCGGCAACGTGTACGACTGGGTGATGCCCTCCGCACGACAGAACTGTCCAAGCCGACCAGAGGCGAACTCGCCGCCACGGTCGGAGTGGAGACACAACACGGGGAGACCGCGGTGGAGACGCGCAGCCACAACCCACGGGAGAAGAACGTCGGGCACGTCGGCCTTCCGCTCCAGAGGAAACACCGTGGTGTAGCGCGTGTAGTCGTCGACGAGCACAAGGAAGTAGCGCTCACCGCGCGGTCCGGGGACGGGGGCAGGGCCCCAAACGTCCAGGTGCAGGGTCTGAAGGGGGGCAGTAGCAGGACGCAGCGAGGAGGAGTGAGGAGCACGGCGGAGCCGACCCTCGACGCAAGGCGTGCACGGTGGCGCAGTCGAGGGTGGGAGGGCAGGGAGCGACGCGGGGAGGCCTAAGACAAGACCGTGCTGAGACATGTGACGCAGACGTGGGAGAGCAGGGTGACCTAAGCGGTGGTGCCAGAGAAGGGACGGGTGAGTGAGGGACCGACACGAGCAAGCTGCAGCGACCTGGGAGGACGCACCAACCGGGGGGGAAGCGGTGTCGAGGGTAAACAGACCAGACACCGGGTCCCGGGGGGAACGTCGCAAGAGGGGAACCTGAGACTGCCTCGGTACAGACAGCGAACCGCTCGTGCCCAGGGAACGTGGTGGTGACGCCGAGGTCCTGAAGACGGCCGACACCAACCAGGTTCCTGGAGAACGAGGGAACGTGGAAGCCTGTAAGAGAGCCCGAGGGAACGGCTGGACAGGGAAGGGAAGTGGAACTGCGAGCGACGACAGGACCGGCAGAGGGGTCAGCGAGGGAGACAACCGCAGGTGCAGCAAGCGGCGTGAGCGTGGACCGGTCACGGAAGAAACAGGCAGAAGCACCGGAGTCGAGCGTGAAGGACAGCGAGGCAGTGGCAGAGGCCGGGGACGGGGCGGGTGCAGAAGCTAGGCTAGGCAACCTAGGCAGTCCTACGCCTGACGCAGCAGGGGAAGCTAAGCTACACAAGGGTGAAACACCTAAACTAGAGTACACAGGGTAATAAGATCTACCTATCTTATCCATGCAAAGCAGCACCTATCTTATCCATGTCTAACTCAAAGATCGGCACGCCCTGGCGGAGCAGGCTGTGCCAGTCAGGGAGGTCCGGGGCCAGGCCAAAGCGACGACGAAAAAGATCGTCGAGGCGGCGGAAACAGCGGGCGGTCGGGTGCGGGCGGCGGCACAGAGTGCCGCGGAGAGGCCCTGTCTGAAGCTGGTACTGGCAGGTCACAGCACTGGAGCCGCTGGTAGACGCCAAGCTGCGCGGGCCGCCACCACGGCCACCGCCTCCGGAGGTGCCGGGCCAACCAGGCGGGAGACGAGCCCACGGCTGCGGCGGGTGCTGCTGGGACGGCGGCTGCGGCTGGGGCTGGTCCTGCTGCTGCTGGGGCTGCTGCTCCTGCCCACCGGTGGTAG